CACTCTGTTCATTATCATTGAACCGCTGATGCTTCCTCTTCGGCCAATGACTCCATCAATTTCTTTGGATTTCTCTAAACTGGTCTTCGGGTTCTGCGCCAGGCAGTCGAGAAAGTTGCCCGTAATGGGTAGAAATGTCATTTCGAAGGTCTGGTCAAAGAACTCAAGCAACGCACTTGAAAGTTCTCCTACTCTTGAAGGCCCTAATTATCCCTCCAACAACGACCTTCCGCCTAATTAGAACCCGCGTCTAGTACATACCTATTCTGGTACTAGATCATGATTAGTGAGCGTCTGTTGTCAGACGGAACTGAGACGAAGTTTAGTCATTGATGCAGCACCATCGTCTTTTGATGGTAGATGATGTAAGCAGCTACCTAATTTGCCTACCGCTTAACTTGTAGGTTGCTGTTTCGTTTTCTATTGTACTGAATGATATTTTCAAGCTGCATATTTTTCAGTAATAAAATACATTCATGTATTGTGACACAAGTAGTAGCATAATCGTAGTTTTTCGTGCATTTTCGCAGTTTCAAGGTGACCATCGATGGATCATCCATGAACCTCATTCTGAGAGGACTTTCTTTGGTTGCATGGCTTTCTTCGGTTTCCTCGTGTTGCCACGTTCATCAGTCTCATTACAACACAGAACTGCATTCTCCATCGAGAGACGTTCTCTTTGCTTCCACATGCGCCGAATGGCCCTGTTGTCATCAGCTGGTAATGCATAGGATCACGTCCCGCCGGTAGGACATCGTGCCTTTTTCCAGTTTCAAGCCAGAGTCTTTCAGCTGCTTCCGGCGGGACACTGAGTTGTCCGTTCGGAAGACTACGGTATTTACTGCATGCATCTACATGACAGCATGTCTGCAATGGTCTTGCTCCGGTCTATCCTTGACATTAAAGTCGAATTCTGCCTAGAGTTCCAACCAACAAGTCACCTGTCCTTCTCGTTACTTGTAGAAGCGTAATCACTGGAAACTGTTGGGGTTAGTTGGAGCTCTAAACAGCCCCCCCCACCGAACTGATATCGTCGGAACTGTCGTACTCCCCAGGCCAACACCAACATTTTTTGTTGTAGAGCGGCATTCCTCAATTTTGGATACGGTTTTACTCGCGTTCGCAATTGCATGCTCCTGATCGACGGTGCGTTGAGACGATGCTGCCCTTATACCGACCGTCGCCATTTGCGTCCGTATCAAGCATGAATTTTTTAACGAACGGGTGGCTCAGTACCGGGGGTGCTCACCAATGCCCTTTTCAGCCTGGCAAACACAACATTGCATTTAGCTGTGCAACTCCGTCCTTTGAGTTTGTCCATCAACCATTGCAGCAGGGAGGTGATGGCGCAAAACACCAAATAAACCGCCTGTAATGTGAAGCGAGCCTTAGACACTGTTTTAGCTCCTTGGCATTCGACGGCGTGGACCAGGAAGAGACGAAGCTGACGTTCTCTGGGTTGGTTCTGATTCCCTTTCGAAATACCACACGGCTCCGTCTCTCGGAATGGTGCACGCTAGCTGGGCTTTACTTTAAGCTGTGCTTCCCTACGCCTAAAAAATGCATGTTTCAACCTGTCCATTCTGCGTTCTGCTAAATATGTTGATGTCGTCTAGGTAGACGGGACAAAAGTTCCGCTG